AGTTCTAAGTGGGAATGCTTTCAACTTTTACTCGTTCAAAGAGAAATTAAACATCCTACTGCTGAATGATCATTGGATCAAGGAGGAATTAAGATGGAAATCAAAAAATTTTTTGAACTAAATGACAAAGGGGACACAAGTTATCAAAATCTATGAGATTCAATGAAACAAGTCCTACAGGGAAAATTCATAGCTTTAAATGCCTACATCAAAAACACTGAGGGATCACAAATCAACAATCTAATGGATCATTTTGAGGAATTAGAAAAGGAAGAGCAAACCAAATCCAAACCCAGCAGAAGAAAAGAAATAACTAAGGTCAGAGAAGAACTAAATGAAATCAAAAACAAAATAATTATACAAAAAATAAATGAGACAAAAAGTTGGTTCTTTGAACACATAAACAAAAATTGATAGACCTTTCACTAGATGACTAGAAATTGAAAAGGAGGAGCCCAAATAAGCTCAATCAGAAATGGAAATGGAGATATTACAACTGATATCACAGAAATAAAAAAATCATCTCTGTATACTATATAAATCTCTATGTACATTAACTTGAAAATGTTGAGGAAATGGACAAATTTCTGGAAACACACAACCTCCCAAGGCTCAATCAGAAATAAATCAAATTCCTGATTCAATCAATAATGAGCAATGATATTGAAGCACCAATCCCAGACCAGGTGGTTTCCCAGCCTAATTTTAACAAACCTACAAAGAAGAATTGATACCCATACTATAGAAATTATTTCATTACACTGAGAGGGGAGGAATCCTCCCCAACTCATTCTATGAAGCCAGTATCACCTTTATACCAAAGCCAGGAAAGGGCATAATAAAAAAGAAAACGGTATACCAGTATCCCTTATGAATATAGATGCGAAAATTCTCAATAAAATTCTAACAAACTTAATTCAGCAGCACACCAAAAGAAAAAAAAATAATAATAATCTGACATGACAAAGTGGGTTTTATCCTAGGGATACAAGGATGTTTCAACATACTTAAATATGATTCACCACATAAACAGAAGCAAAAGTAAAGATTATATAATCATTTTAATAGATGTAGAAAAAGCATTCAACAAAATTCAAAACCCTTTTATGATAAGAATCTTAGCAAAATTGGCATAGATGGAACATATATTAAAATTATAAAAGCCACATAGAAGAATTCAGCTTTCTAAGACTCCATAAAATACATACCAAGATAGACCATACTATTATCCATAAAACAAACCTCAACAAATTTGAAAGAAGTTAATCATCCATAGTGTATTCTCTGATCACAATGGAATCAAATTAGAATTTAATTACAGGAAGATAAGAATAAAATTTTCAAACACTGGAAAACTAAGCAATATTCTTCTAAATAATCCATTTGTGAAAAGGGAATTCTCAAAAACAAACTGGATGAAAATGAACATACAACATATCAAAATCTAAAGTAGTGCTGAGATAGGAATTTATAACACTAAATGCTTATATTAGAAAAGAGAATAAGACTCAAATCAATAATCTAAGCTCTCACTTCAAGAACCAAGAAAAAGGGGGGCAAAAAGTGCTGAAAGCCAGCAGAAGGAAGGGAATAATAGACATAATAACAGAAATCAATGAAACTGAAAACAGAAAAGCAATAGAAAAATCAATGAAACAAAGAGCTGGTTCTTTCAACAGATCATTAAAATTGAAACTTGTAGCAATGCTGATAAAGTAAAAAAGAAAAAAGACACAACTTGCCAATATCAGGAATGAAATAGGAAATGTCACTATACATCTTACAGATATCAAAAAGATAACAAGGGATAACAACTTTATACACATAAATTAGACAATTTAGATCTTCACTATATCAGTCCCAAAATTCTGGTTATGATATATCATACTATAGTTTTAGAATATTTTACCATTGGAGGAAATGGGGTAAGGATATACAGAATCTGTCAAATTACAATTTCATATAAATCTTTCTATTTATCTCCAAATAAAACATTTAATTTTAAAACTATATATTAACTATCTGTCGGGGTTATAAAGTGGGTGTATCTTCAGAATACTTCATTGGCCATGTTGATGGAAACAAAAGTATTGAGTTTCTTTCCTAAAATATTTTTTTTCATTTTTAGAGCTTAAACATAGAAAACACAAAAATATTTCATAATTACAGAAATGCACCAGTCTCTGTTTTTTGGTTTGATTTGGTAACCTCAGATAAGTTCAGACATTCTTTTATGACCTTGTGAAGCACGTAATATATATTTAATTGAATATCCTTTAAATAATTTGAGACCAATAAAGTATCTCTTATATTTAAGAGATTAATAATAAGGCTTTTTTTAAAAAAAAAAACTAATATATATTTCTTTGGAGCTTGTACTGGATAAACCATTTCTTAAGTGGTAAATTACACAAAATAAGGACTGAGACATTCCAGAAAATTCAAATTTCAGTGTTTGAGAATATTGTGTCATCAGTAAGCATTGTATTATACAATAAAACAATATAGGAATTATATCTCACAAATATAAACTAAAACTCAGTAGTTTCTCTGGAGGCTGTCCTTTACTTCATTCATTGAATCATGTTGATTCCAAATAACCCTTAGGCAGTTGCAAAGATGTAATTGACTTATAGCTTTTGAGGAGCTCAGCTAGTATTTGTGATTTACATTAATCAATATATACTCTATTTATAAGAAAATCTGGAATGAAAATCACCAAAGAAATAGAACTATAAACAGATACTCTCTTCCTGTGTTTCTTTGGTTAATGAAAAAAGCTTTTATATATTATATATATACACAACTATATTTCATTTTTCAAGAATTACATTATCTCAGTGTTTACTTAGTTGGCTTAGCAGCTGAGCATCCCTTAAGAGTATTTTACTTCAGCAATTCTTCCTTGAGCCTTTATTCTTCAGTTTCTCTTTAAGTAGTTCAAGATTTCATGACTGATTATTATATTTGATTCCTTTGAAATACACCAAAAGCTAAAATTAAACTTACAAAGAAAATGACCAAGATGTAGACGCACAATGTTTTGTTTCCTTGATAAAGTCATGTTTTCCTCTTAGATGGAATAAATTTCTTCAGACTCTAATATTCCTCAGAATTGCTTGTCCAGTAAACTTCACTCTATAGCAACTATTATTTCCAATATAATATAATAACATCAAGGTTTAAAGTGACTTTTTACCAATTAAAAGAAAAAAATGGAGACTTTTAAGTTCTTCCTTTCACAAAACCTCTAATTTGAATAACAGTGTAAAAGATTCCACAAGTGAAAGTAATTACTTGTATTAATTTCAGGTAGTTTTGCTACATACTTTAGACTCTTCTACTCAGAAGAGTCCTAAAAAGAGCTTGTTTTAGTGAAATATGTACTATTGGTGTCAAGTTATTTTTTATATTCAGAGAGAGTGAAGCATTTATTTCTGTGTTTTCTGGCCTTAGTGTGTGAAGTACTTTCACTACTTAAAAGCAGTAAAATTAATCATTTTTGGCTTCAGTTTATGTTATGATGCACATTGGCAGCAATCCTGATGAACTTGAATGAGAATGCTCATTGTGTTCATACTAAGCAAATTAGAGGTGCCCAGTCATTTATTTTCACTGCAGTGTGTATTAGGGGTGGGCACCTCTGATTTGCTTAGTATGAGGTGATAAGCACCAATAGTAGGAAAAAGGAGAAATAAAATCTGCAGAATTTTTCAGAACGAAAACTGTGGCAGTAAGAGAAGCCAATGTCATAGACTTTAGATAACATTTAGGATTGTGTGTGCAGAAATTTAGTGGATGCCCAAGTGCTTACAATTTGTCTTAGAGTTTAAACTACAATCAGACACAGTCAGTACTTTTATTTAAAAGTTACGATGACATAGTTTAAAATATTTTAATTTCTCTGTGAGCAATCCTGTGCAATTGGAATTTGAAAGTCTTTTTATGTAGGAGAATAAGAAATACCTAAGCCTTCATTACTTAAGTTCTTTATTCTATAAGCATGAGCTCTCCAAATTACCAGAGTGAAACAATAACTAGGTTTTATTCAAGGTAATGTGTGACCAAGACAATTACTTGTTAAATTTTCTTTACAACAAAAGTAACTATAGCTATTAGGATATGGATATAGATAGATAGATGATATACAACTAAATTTGATTGTCTTATACTGTCTAAATAGTTTTAAATATCTTCCTCACTTAGTCATTTGTAACCAGTTCTATGTCCAGAACTATGAGTATATCTTGATATTAATGTCAAATATATGTGAGCCAAACTGTAGGTGTAAAAATGAGAAAAGAGGAGAAGCAAGAACCAACAATATTCTTCATAGTTCATTGGTCAATTTATGAACAAACATATAAATTAGTCTCTTTAGTAATTCTTAGTTTGGGGCCACTTATGCAGATAATGTATTCTTTAAAAGTTCTAGAAAGAATTGAGTGAGTCACGCAGCTGGAGGTAGAGAGCATAGTGCCCACTCGAGCTCTCCTCTCATCATGTGCACTTGGTACCTCTCAACAACTATAGACCAAAGGGACAGGAGAGTGCTCCACCAGAAGCCACTCGGTGGACATTTTTTCTGTGTAAATTAAAGCTGTGGTCCCCCTCCTATTATTTTCAGTCTTCTAAAGCATATTTGAATTTCTTGGAATCTAGCTGTAGCATTTTGGAGATAGCCTTAAGGATTATTTTACTGACTAGGAAGTTACATTCTGTATTATTAATTGCGTGGCTTAATTATTGGTAAAAGTGGCAGTCAAGTAATTTGTAAGACTTCTCCAGTTTCCTTTGACTATACTATTCTGTTCATTCTTTTTTGCCCACTCCTTCTGTTTTTATTCTCAGGATGTAGCTGAGAAGCATTGGAATGCTGTCATGGTGGCACTTCCACTTCTTTAAGCATTTTGCTTCTCCATACAGAAAAATCATATCGTTGACCATAATATTTTCCTTGTGTTTCATTCTTAAAGATGTTTGTATTTTTCTCCAAACAGCCTCAAAACCAGTGGACTTGAAATTATGCACTGGCCCTGTCCCTAATACTACACAGCTGTGCCACATTCCTTGTCCAATTGAATGTGAGGTTTCACCTTGGTCAGCTTGGGGACCTTGTACTTATGAAAACTGTAATGACCAGCAAGGCAAAAAAGGTATGTAATATTAATATGACATACATGAAATTTCTATCAATTGAGTCAAACTGTGAGTTATTTTAAAAATGCTGTTCTGTGTTCTTTGTAATTATTCATTTGTGATGTTTTCCATACTGGCTAAGGAGTATTGATTTCAAAAGATGAATAATTACTTAATGGGTACAATGTATATTATTTGGGCAATGGATACTCCAAAAGTCTTAACTTGACCACTGTGCAATCTATGCACGTAACAAAATTGCACATGTAACCCTTAAATGTATACAAATAAAAAAAATAAATGGAAGAACATAGACAAAATATTTGTTAATTTAGACAACACGATGGAGAACATCTGAGGCAGTTTAGTGCAGTGGTTAAGATGAGCTGTGGTATAAGACTGGTCTGGAATGGAAAACCTACTCTGTCCCTTGCTGGTTAGATAATATAATTATTAATAGCTTATCTAAATCTTTGTCCTCTTATATGTTAAAGTGGTGTAGGAATATCTGCCACCCAGATTGTCTCTAAAGTATCAATGAGATAGTAAACATAAAGCATGAAATTCAGTGCCTATCCCATAGCTAGTGCCCAATAAATAGAGCTCCTTATTACTTCAAAGGCAAAATTTTAAAAACTTGCTTACTTTTATGATGCAAATGATATGTCTAGGAGGAGTGGAAAAAATGTAGTGGTTGACTTCATGGTGGACATGATGGGCTAATTTGCACATGATCTTTCATGCAATTGAAAATGTTTTCTATTTTCTTTTAAAGGGCAGTCTTCTAGTGATTCTAGTGTGTTCACACAGCAGTAAACAGACTTATTAAGTTTGTTACATATTGCCAAGAAGGGCAACACTTAGGTACTATTAAAGCACAGAGCAGAATTTGAATACTCCAGATTGGAGTCCAGATGGTTTATGTCCCTAATTCAAATTTCCAAAGAGTCTAAAATCAACTGAGGCTCAAAGAGACAGTTTCTTTGGAACCATCTAACTTCTCAAAGTTTCCTTTTCCAAAGTCAATCATGTGACCATGCTGAAGAATTAAAAATAATAGCACTTTCATCTGGCCATGAATATTTCTGAATAGTTTGAGATTTCATTGTTTCTTTGAATATTCTATAACTATAGGCTTGCCAAATAGATCAAATCCATCTCTATCTCTATTTCTGTTTCCCCGCATCCATCGGCCCTACAAAGGAAATTGGAGTTACATGGCACTTCTTGCCTTCTCTTTACTGTAATAAGCTAAAACCAAAGTCCTTCCTTTTACATTTCTGTTCATTCATCCATTCATTTATTCATTTAATAAATGGCTTAAGACCTCACATTTAGCTAGAGTTTGGGAGTCCACCAGTGATTCAAAACATATATGACATCTACCTCTACTCTTTCCAACTTTCACTCTGGAGTTTCATCCTGCTTTCTAAAATACCAAGCCCTGACAGTAACAATAAATGCTTTCTCTCCCCAATAATATAGGCTTCAAACTGAGGAAGCGGCGCATTACCAATGAGCCCACTGGAGGCTCTGGGGGGACTGGAAACTGCCCTCACTTACTGGAAGCCATTCCCTGTGAAGAGCCGTCCTGCTATGACTGGAAAGCAGTGAGGCTCGGAGACTGTGAACCAGATAATGGAAAAGAGTGTGGTCCAGGCACACAAGTTCAAGAGGTTGTGTGCATCAACAGTGATGGTGAGACAGATGTATCTATTGCATTTTTATGAATGTCTGTTTAAGCCTGGAGATATGCTTTGCCCTTATATAAAAATCTTGTGTCTTCTCTCATCACGACTGGTTCCATTTACAAACAGAAATTGCTACTTCTCTCTCTCTCTCTCTCTCTCTCTCTCTCTCTCTCTCTCTCACACACACACACACACACACACACACACACACACACACACACACTCTAATGGTGGCACTGGAGAGGTTCCAGGAACAGTCACAGGATATATTTTCATTTGAAAACTGAACAGGTAAAGTAGAATAAGAATTAAATCATCATAAGGGAAAGAATGTACTAAATTGCCGAATTTAAAAATAATAAGAAAAGGTAACATTTTTCTAAGAGATACATGTTTTTTAATTTGTCCCAGAAAATAAAATGTAACTAAAGAAGGATGGTAATTGTTGGTTGACTTGACTACTTGACTCTAGAAGTCTTTTTTTTCCTCCCTGATTCTGTGTCTTAGTGGTATTATTTAATTTCCAGGCTCACAAGCCACGAGGCTTATCACAGCCTTGAATTCCCGAATCAACCTTCTCCTGCTCTCTAGGGGGCTCCTCTATAGGAATATCATGGAACCATTCAATGGATGATGGTTTTCCACAAGGTTCTTTTCCCCAACCACATAAGTTACCTAGGACTTTTAACAACTAATTTTTGTTTGAAAAAAAAAATACACCGTCTTGATGTAAGCTCTGTTATAAGATTTTACATTCTTCCTAAGAGTGCTGATACTGTTTGGGGGAGAACCCTATACTCCTTAGCAATCCCTGAGTCATACTTAGGAACCACAAGACTCCCCCGACACAGTTTAAAGCCTCTGGACAAGATCATCTCTAAGGTTGCTTCTAACTCTCGAATCCTATGACTCTGCACTTCAGAGAAGCATGAGCACTAAACCCCAGGGTCCCATGGTTTGACAGTTTGTGCTGTTTACAGCATATGCAGAAACATTCTGGTGCCCCCTCAGGGGTACTACAACATCTGGTAACCGTCATAATTCCTTCCATTCTATTTTCTTCCAGCAAGCAGAATTGTTTCCTCCTGTGACTCAGTCACCGTTTAGTCGTAAAGAAAGATACTCTCTGGGGCGGAAGACTGACAGGCACTGCTATTACTGAGAAATTAGCTTTTGTCTTTGTCCAGGGTCCAAGAAAAGTCATGCAGGACAGTAGTAGTTGAAATCTGAACCAGCATTTGAGGTTGAAATGTGAAATGTGAAACAATATTGCTCCCGATTGTTTATGATGACTTTATGTATTCTGCTTTATTCTGTGGTGGTATAATCAGCTATGATATACCCTCTCTTTAGATTTTCCCTGTTCTACACTAAAGAGAAAGAAAAGAAATTGAAAGTAACACTCAAAGCCTGGCATCAAAGAAAATAAAGCAAAAGAAGCACATTGTCTTTCTCTTTTACTCACACTTCAAATTGTTATTCGGATTAGACAGTAATCTATATTTTTATCTTTTGAATTGCTGTAAAAAAAAACAGTAAAGGGTAATATTTAAGTCCCTTAGTGATAGCACTTCTTGATGTTTTTTCCTCAATTCAAATATTTTTTTCATCCTTCTATAGACCAACAGAGGAATTAGGGCCCCAGGTATTGTAAAAGTATATTTGAATGAAGCAAAAAGCTAAAGTGCAAAGTTCATTGTACATGGAACTTCTGCCTCAGTGTTGTCCAGTGAAAAATCACATCTAGTTCACTTAGTACACTGATCTTCCTGGATATTTGTGCAAATTGAGTATATTTTATATAGCTCTTTAAAAAGTAGTGGTTTATTATAATTTTGTAAAGTAAGCATTATTTTGTAACACAAATAATGGCCTCCTAACTTGTCTTAGGAAACACTAAAAATCAAGCAGAGGTATGAATTAGATATATCTAGTTGTCTTGGAAAGTAATATATGTTAAAACCTAAAAAGCAAAGTGATAACTCACAATACACATAAGCTGGTTTCACTTTGCCTCACAAACAGCATGAACTAAAAGCAGGTAAGTGTGCAAAACTGATATTCAGTTTGTTGTTACTGTCCCTTACTGGTACATCTCTTTCTACCATTAAATTTTGATCTCCTGATATTAATTAGTTGTAGTGCAATTTAATACTTTAACTGGCTCAACTACAGGGGTCTATAAAATCAAGAAAATTATTTTTGCTGATAAATCCTAGAGCCTGTTCAAATTTGTATATAACTGAGACATAATTATGCTGGTAGAATAAGAGCAAAAGCTGGAGACTTATAAATACCACTCCAATATTATCATGTGGTCACCTGGTAAGTGTTTAGCAGCTGCACCAAATGTTGTTTTGTAATTAAAGTGGGCCTAGGGGATTAAAGTTGATTAGTTGTACAGACTCTACCTCTAGGCCTGGGCTGCGGCTATAGATTTTGTTTTATAATTAAGTTAAAGCTCCACTAGGGACATGAAGAATTAGAGCCCGTGAACCTCGCAAATAGTAAAAAGACATCTTTTTCTCCCACGTTTCTCACAAATTTCACAACTGTGTTAATGGCCTCAAAGCATTTAAAATTTCTATTTTTTTTTTTCTGAAATAGTCTTTGTCCAGGCTTCCAGAGATCATTAGGATTTCTTGCTGCCACTCATCTTTGCTGGTGCCTTCTAAGGAGCAGGGTTGGGAAAGGTTGTAAGAGCCCTCAGGAGGAGCTTTACGTAGAATTCCCTGACAGACAGGGGAGTGGAACTGAATTGCAAAACAAAAGAGAGTTTAAAAGACAATTAGATTCTCCAAAAAGAGATAAACATTTTATGTGTAATAGAAAAAATATTGCATAAAATTTAAAGCTCATCAGAAAAGCACTTCCAGATCTCTGAGCACAAATGCAGGACTTACTCTAGAAGTGTGGGGACTGGGGGAATCCTAGAGGATTTTAGACCTATGAGAACACCTCAAAGCCGCTCTATTTAATTTTTTTGTGATATTTGGGTGTTTTATTTAAAGGTGTGAATTTGGAGAGGCAAGTGTATTTTGTTTCTTAAATTGGTTGGTTAGAGGCTGAATGAAGCAAGGCTTTAGGCTGGAGATGGGAAAAAGAAAACATATTGTCTTATTTATTACTTGAGACTGTAAACCAAATATAGGTCAACAAAAATAAACAAATGATGCCATCCGTATTTCCTTATCATGTACTGTATTTCAGATACCAGAGTATTGACACTTTTCCACGTGAATTTCAAAAACTCAATTTTGTTATTTCGTTTTCTGTGTTATTTTGTAAAGCAGTGGACCTCAGTAGATTCAAATGCATGCACTTCTGAGCTGCAGAAGTTGATCTATAACTGATGATATTAACATGCACAGCTCACTTTCTACTTGACCTAGATTTTTATGAAACCAAAAAATATTTCTATGAAAGTAAGTCACTACAACAATTCATCATTACACAGTTGTTAATGGTACAGTAGGGAGAGTAATGAGGGTCACCGGCTGGGGCCATCAGTGTGTATTGTGCCGTTCTTGAATGGGAATAAGTGTTATCCGAAGACTCTCAGCACCACAGCAAACTGGCTGGATTCTATTAGCACTAAAGATCTGTGATTAAGAACTTGTTGAGATGAGCATTGGAGCAAGCCTTTATAGCAAGTTTTTCTGCCTCTTTTGAGAACTATTTCTGCATAGCATCAGAGTACCAAGAGAACTGACTGTGAAAACGCTTGGGGGACAATGACTTTAATATCCAGGGCACTGACTTGTCATGGAACTGCTTAACTTTTCTGACATTTTTACCACTGATTTCTCTTCCTTCTGGAATGGATGGAATGGATAGGAAATGATATATTTCCACATATGAGTAAAGGAAAGAAAAGACTTGAATATTTCTTTCCTACGTACTTTATAACATACTCTTTGTTCCCATGTTGTAAGCATTAAGAGGAATATAGGGCATATCATTTCAATATCTTGAGGTAAATACTGGAATAAACACCTAAAAATATTGGAAGTTTTTACCACTGGAGAACAAGACTCGGTGTGGAGAGAAATGGAGTAAGATAGTCTGTATTTTAAGCCTTGTAGTACAATTTGTATGCAATTTATAAACTGTATAAATACTGAATTAATCTGTCCAAATATATATTTATTAAAAAGTAATAGTTTGGGCCGGGCGCGGTGGCTCACGCCTGTAATCCTAGCACTCTGGGAGGCCGAGGCGGGCGGATTGCTCGAGGTTGGCAGTTCGAAACCATCCTAAGCGAGACCCCATCTCTACTAAAAATAGAAAGAAATTAATTTACCAACTAAAAATATATATACAAAAAATTAGCTGGGCATGGTGGTGCATGCCTGTAGTCCCAGCTACTTGGGAGGCTGAGGCAAGAGGATCGCTTGAGCCCAGGAGTTTGAGGTTGCTGTGAGCTAGGCTGATGCCACAGCACTCACTCTAGCCAGGGCAACAAAAGTGAGACTCTATCTCAAAAAAAAAAAAAAAAAAAAAAGTAATAGTTTGGAGAGGTTCAGAGAAAGGAGAGACAGGCAATAGAGGATGGGGAGCAAAGTGTGCCTGGAATAGAAAGAAATTATAGAACTTGTGGTTGAGACTAATATTTTGACTGATTCAGAGTATTTGTAGGTTCCCCCAGAAGCATAGGCCAGGTCAAGGATTAGGATGCATGTAGTTCATTAAGCATGTGCTCCCAGAAGAAAGAGAAAGGAGAGTAAAAAAGCAAAATAGAGAAAGGAGAGTGTGTCTTGGGATCCTAAAACTACTTCCAGGTTCAGAGATTCACTAGGAAGATTTGCAGGATTCAGTATATGGTTGAACCAATGGCTATGATTTATTACAATGAAAGGGTACGAAACAAAATCAGCAAAAGAAAAATGCATGTGGGCCAAAGTCCAGAGGAAACCATGCACAAGCTTCCAAGAGCCCTCTCCCAGTGGAGTCACACAGGATGTGCTTAATTTTTCCACCAATGAATTGTAATAACACAAGTACGGT